CAGAGGCACTTTGTCCAGCCTGCGGCAGGTTCCTTGGTCCTGCCTAGCCAAGGTGCTGCCCAGCTGTGGCACATCCTGCTGCCCCCTGAGCATGCTCCGCAGCTGGACTGCCACCGGGCTGCCCTGTGGCTCCATCACTGCCACTTCCAGGCTGCCCTGCATGGCAGTTTCTTTCTGGCACTGCCACTGCTGCTCAGCCTGGAGCTGCTGCAAGGTGCACAGGGTCAGGGCTGCATGCACTGGTACCTGCCACTTCCACAGGGCTGGGGGCAGCAGCAGCCAGAAGGAGCTGCCCTAGCTGTGCTGCATGCCCTGGGGTGGCAGGACGCACCACGGCTGGGTGGTGTGGAGCAGGCACAGGCTATGCCGGGGCTGTGCGCTGTTGGCAGTGGCAGAGGAGTTACTGCAGGGCATGCAGGCTCTGGGCTGTTGTGGAGCGGAGGCAGGGGCAGGACCTGGCTGGCTCAGAGGGGCCCATGTGGGGGCTTCCATGCACACCCCACATATCCTCAAACCCTCCTACCACAAACTCCACAACTACACCTTTACCCACACAATCACACACCCCACAAACACCCCCCCACACCTATACCCGTATGCCTCTGAGGGGAACCCCTCCCACTGCTACACACACACACACACACACACACACACCCCCCCCCCTCCCCCCCCCCCCCCCAGCCACAAACCCTCTCCCCACCCATCCATGCCCACGCATACCCCTACACCCTTCCCCACACCCTCCCACACACAGCCCCCCACAAACCCCATACCCACCCACCCATACCCCCCCACACCCTCCACAATATACAAAAGTAAGACTTCACTTTGAGCTTTTATGCAATCACTTCTATATATACAGCACAAACAAACAAATCAGGACAATTAAAAAAAATAAAATTAAATTAAAATATATTATTATGGATGTTTGATTTTTAATATATAATTTTTTTCCTGGTTCCAAAAGGAGTACTTTCAGGGGGAAGGAAAGGGGCTTTTGGTGGCAAAGGTCAGAGGTCATGGGCAGGACTTCTCTTCTCAAGATAGCAACCAGGGAGCAGGATCACCCTTGTGGCTCTCAACAGCTCACCAAAACTGGTGAAGTGGCCCTCCAGTCAAAATAATTGCCCACTCCTGAGTTAGACAGTGGTAGAGTGTGTTCAGCCATACAAAATACGGGTTACTAAAACTGCAGCTCTCAAACCATTTTCTGCAATTACTGGATCTGCTATGAAACTACTAGTGCCTTTATCTTGCACTGGACAGACAATAGAGAGTTGTCTTACAGAGTCCATCATCTCAGAGATTTTCACACACTGGAAGAAGAGTCTAGGTGGCTGTCACTCTCAGAAGTATTTTGATTAAATTAGAACAGTCTTTTCTGAAGGTTATCATTATCAGCTGTTTCATAACTATACATGCCATTTTTTGCTTTCAGTCTTTAGAGACCAACTCTTTGTGGGATGCTAAACAGCCGAGGCCGGCTGGTATACTCAGGCTATAATTAACACTGCTAAACTACAACCATTATTAGAGGGGGAAATACAAATCTACATAAACAGTAAACAATTACAAATGCTGTATCAGAAAAATACTACAAGGGACATTTAGACAGCATCATTTTGTACCTGTTCAAACTGGAATGTTTTTATGCCCATATAAAATATTTGTCTTAAATGTAAGCCCTCGGTTGTGCTAAGAGAAAATAGTTTTCAGAAAATGTTAAGTCCCAAGAAGAAAAGAAACAATTAGCCAGAGATGCATATAATGATGAAGTCTAACAGTTACATAGGATTTTTTATTTATAGGCCAATCACCAAATGCTTTACACAGACAAGTAAAATATTATTTCCTGTCCCTCACCACACACACCACTATAAATGAGATGCAGCTACTAAATGATTTGTGCGAGATCACACACCAAATACATTGCAAAGATGAGGGCAGACCCCATGACACTCCATGAATGAATGCAATGTTCACTGGAAACTCAACTGGGCATGGGGAGGGAAGATATTAAGAAAAGACTTTGGCAATTTTTTGCAGTTTTCTAATCTCTCTCCAAACTATGATTAGTCTGATAAAAGTGATAACCAAAGAAGTCTTGCTCTCTGCACTTTTTATTAGACCCTCGCAGCTATACCAACACTACAATTCTAAACATTTTGGGATAAGATCAATTCAGTAAGTTTAATTCCTAGCACTAATTCAAGAACATAGATATTGCTAGCATGGGTTAAACTTGTGGTAGGGGAGCTACAAATACCTCACAGGAAAGGGCAGAGTAACCCGATAATTAGTGATTACAGAATAACCTATCCATAGGGTAAAATTTTCCTTAGCAGTTATCCTGTAACAACTGGCTATTACCCTGAAGCAGGCGATTTCTTTATGACAGGGCATCTAACCACAGGTATTATCAATATCCATATAAATAAAAGATGAAATAGTCATATAGTTAACACACAGGACTGAAATTTAACTTTGATTCCAGCTCTGCCAAATATTTTCTGTGTGGCTTTAGATACGTCACTCCTTCCTCCTATATGATTCAGTTGTCACAAGAGTGCACCCAAATACAATTATGATAGGACCCATAGTTGTTATCTTGTAGTCATGAGCTCTTACTTTCCTTCAGAACCTAATGATGCATATTTTAGAACAATGAAACACACTACAAACTAGGAAATAAAAATTGTGTTAGAGCATTCTTCACTAGCAAAAACTGATTTTTCAAAATGTAAATACTAACACCTACACATGAAAAAAATTGGAATATGGCATTTAGAACAGCTTTTCTAGTCCTGAATAATTGTTTGTATTTTTAAAGATAGATGACTGTCTTTTTATGTTACATGACCAATAAGCAGAATAATGGGTTGGGTCCTTGTCTATTACTAAAGTTCATATATGATACAATAATAATACGTAATTGTCAGGATTTTTATAACAGTTGCTCTGTCTTTTCTAGGTGTTGACTTTCTATTAAAAATATTATATAACACACCTTTATAAACTTAATTTCTGTATTAGAAAATAAATGCAACTTTGTCCCATAGCCTAATACTTGTATAAAATCCCTTAGAGATCAGAGCAGGTATTTGTGTATTGTAGGAACAACTGCTCTTGTTTCTGAAAACAAGGAGTTAAATTGTCTTAATATCTCTCCTTTTCCTTGGTTTATCAAGTCAATGCAGAGAGAAACAGACAGATCTAGTGAGAAAGCCTGTGAAGCAAGGTCATTCAGCTTCTGTTTACATTCCTTCACTTATCTCTTTCCAGCTAGCTGAACAAAGCTTACGGAAACTGCAGGACAGAGGTGAAATCTACCAAGTTTCTCCTTTCTGTTTACTTCAGAAATTGGGAAGTGCTGAGAAGGCAGGAGGTGTTGTCCACAACTTTGGCATTTTTACAGGGTTTAGAAAAGCACCTCTAGCTTTCTGGGAAGGAATCTATGAAAATTTTAGGACAAAGATAGAGTTGCCATATTTCCACTATCAAAAAAGAGAATACGAGGGGGGGTGGGGGGGTAATATGATGGTGGGAGGTGGGCAGCAGGCAGCGATATGCTCATGCCCTGCCTCTGCCCCTCACTCCTAAGCCCCTGTCCCCCAGCCCTGCCGGCACCCCTCACTCCTGACCCACAGCCCTCTGCCCCTCCAGCCATGCTGCCCACACAGCTCATGCACTGCACACACTCTGTTCCTCTTACCTGGGAGTTTGCCAGGGCCCATGGGCAGAGTGCATGACCCCCAAAAGCCAATCACCTTGCCCACTGCTTCCAGCCCCAAGCTGCTGGTACCCAGGAAAGCAGAGGAAGAGCAAAAACCCAGATATTTGCTCCCATTTTAAAATCCCGCCCAGACACAAGGACAGGGGGCCAAAAAGAAGACATGTCTGGCAAAACCCGGATGTATGGTAACCCTAACAAAGAACAATTTAAGATAGCCTCACTATAGAGCTGTCCAGCTTCCCTCTTCATTAGGCAAGAATTTTGCATTTTGCTGGACTTGTCAAGATAGCTTCGCACTGTGACTTGATAACATGGGGAAAAACCATGACAGTGGCAGAGGAAGTACCCTGACCGAGGTAATACAACTAAAATGACACTGTGTAGTGGAGGGTTGCACCCTTGTCTGCTTGCAGACAGGACTCCCTATGAGAGCCTCATAGTTAGCTTTCCACTGGCCAGTTTTCCATGGGAGGATCTTGGCTATATGCCCACTTTACAGAAATGGGAGACTTCTCCCTAGCTTGCACCTTTGGCCATATGGCTGCGGGCAAGCAAAACTCAAGAGACGACCGAACACCAAGTTTCCGGGCTTGGGCCTGCACATAGGATGCCCGCCAAAAGATTTGGAAGCATCTGAAGCTCCAGGCGGGAGTGGAGGATGCTTGCCAGTAGCAGGGCCACATATGGATCTTGAACAAATCACGGATTTGGAATTAATTTGGCTGATTTGGCTTGGGGCGCAAAAAAAATCCCTTTAAAAAAACGCCCTGGTTAATTTGTTTGGTTATAGCTTTTATGCTTAGGCTAAAGTCAGAGAGACTCTATGTGAACCTTTTACTTAGATTTTTCTGCACTTAGAAGTTCCTACATTCTTTAATTTATCAGTTCAATCTATGCAGTTTAGACTGACCTGTGAAGATTGAATCAATTGAGCCTTGGGCTTTTTGACTGTCTGTACTTATCAAGTAACTTCCACAGAATTTGAGTAGATCAAATATCTTTCCCCAGCAGGAACCCCCCCCCACTCTATTATTCATACTACATCATCACTCCAATTTCTTGTGTCCTCTGGAAGTTAGTAATTAGCATTCTATTTTAATTAAAGGAGTTAAACATACCTGCTAGAAAAATAATGTCAAAGGGAAACATTTGTTTAATACAACAGTTCTTAATGCTTTCCACATCCTTACCTCATGTTACAGAAAGAATAGCACTTTAGAGCTACATCCTATATAACAAAAAAGAAAAGGTGTGTGGCTGCACTCACCTGAAATCTATTTGTGATCCCCAGATTAAGAGCTCATGTTCTAATGATTTTCTAAACATTGTTGATTGTTTCTGAGGATTGTATGTGAATTTCACAAGCTAATTTTTCCAGCAGTGCCGAGCACTGAAGATCACTCTTTATTTTGTCCCCACAATATCCCTTAAACACACCTTTGTCCCAGATGGAGTAGTGAAATACATCAGATCAGAATGATCACCTGTGAGGTTCACACCCTTTAAATAACTGATGGGAGAAATTATAGGTTCTTGGCCCTGATTCAGGAAGACACTTTAACACATGCTCCAATGATTTCTTTAATTAAGGGTCTTTTCCTGAATTGAAACCCTTGTGCAGTAGCAGGGCTGATAAAAGGGCCAGTGTGTGTCAGTATCCTGAGTGCTCATTCCTCTCATTGATATGGAAGAGTTAAAGGTTAAATGGTTTCACCACCATACTTTTGTTTACAAGAGGGGTGTAGAAATGGGTGTGTGGGACTATGTTTTTAATGTGGGGGGGGAACCAAATTAATTGGGTACTCAGCAAACTGCTGCACTGTAAATCAGAGTTCCCAACAGCTCTCCTATACTTGATCTAAACCTTCAAGAGGCTGAGAAGCGATAACTGAACAAATGATTTCAGTGTGGTCCTTTCTGGGTCTCTTAGGTCAATTAATTATTTTCATTTATGACTTGAAATGTACACCCTAATCCATTTTTAAGTCTACTGGGATGTCAGAGGTAGCGCACACCCTGGAGGATAGAAATAGCAAGCAACAGACTTAGTTTCCACCCAGAAAAAACATTGGAAAAGCCTTTTAAGTTGTAAGAGGCAAGGATTCCTTAGCATAATATCTTTTATTGGACCAACTATGTAGTTGGGATAAAATTAGGCAAGCTTTCAGATGCAAGGCATGTAGACCTTGTTGGGCAGATCTAGAAGGTTTAAATCAATAAGATCTAGAGGTGGCATGCAAAATAATTTTGACAGTGACATGTTTCAGAGCTGGAGATCCAGCTGTTGCTGCAAATTAACAAGGCTTGGGATAGCTGCCCAGCAGAAGGGGCAGCTAAAAAGCATGATGGTTGCTTAGGGCAGTGATGGGGTCTACTTGCCCAGCTAGCTTAATTGTGGAGAAGATAACATAACTATAATAAACAAGTTAAATTGATGGACCACTAAGATTTAGGGAGCAAGGATGGGTGATACCCAGTATCTAAACTGTGGGAATACACTTGGTGCATGATTAATATTCTGACTGGTTAGTAAATACACCACTGGGGAATGCACTTATATAACTAAATGGGTGCTAGCTAATGGTTGAACAAATGTCTCTGAATATGTATAGGAGATGCGTAAAATTCTGAAAGACTTTAGGTCAGTGTAGACTATCAGCTACCTTGATCATCTGACCATGAATAAAGCTAATTTGATTATAGTCAGTCTGTCTACTTGAAGCACGTTACAACAGGAGTCCTTTGGGAGCAATAACAATTTCTATTCTTCCAGTTTTGCTGGTGTGTGCATTAAGATAAGATATCCACACTGCTATATTACATAACATTTGATTTATTAGCCATCAGATTGTTAGTTGGGCTAAGGACCTAGCAGCCTAATAAAACTTGTTATGACCTTTAGCCAAGTCACCTATTTTGAGAAGTCAAGTACAGGTCTTTAAAATTATATGAGCCAACTATGGAGTAAACTGTGAACTCTTTCAAAACAAGAAGAGCTTTGACCACCCAGCATGACCACTTGATGCAAAGTATCTATGGAAAAATATATGGAGTAATTCTGGAAATGTTATTCCAGTTACTGTGTAAATTTGCTTCAGATAAAATATCTTTGGAGGAATATGTGCATACATACCTCTCTGCTCTGCTTGGTGGACTATTAGACACCTTTTCACATTGCTCTGTTTCTTTCCCT